CGCTGGCGCCGACTCTTGACGAGCCTATATTGCATTAGGGGGACATAGAATGCTTTTACGTACGTAGCCAGGTACATGTTTGGATTCCCCTGAATGATTTGCTTTGTGAGGAGTAATAATGTATAAGTAGTTTTCCTGGTGAGTCTGAGAATAGTCTGAGTAATAATATGATAAGCGATTAATCCACCGTAATTTACTATATATATGGGGGTAGCCATCTTGAACACTGATTGAAACTAAATAAAGAGACAAGTTGAGAAACATATTCCTATTAATCAGGGAGAAAACAAACTTTCACATCCAAACGAACATAATTCGACATCACTTCATTACACGAAGAACACAGAACATTTTCCCTGGTATATTTGAAAGCGAAATCGCCATCTAACTGTAAGGCCATCGCTGACCAGCTTCTAAAGTATGACGACTGTCCCTACCAGTGTCCCTACTGTTATATAGATTCACCCAAAGTGGGTGTGACCACAAGACGGCGCCAGCGAGATTCGAAAGCCAACCGTTTAGTCAAAACCAAAGCAGTTCGCTAATTCGCTAGCGAGTTTGCAAATTAGCTGCCCCAATATTTCTGAGACTTGCTGTAAAATAATTTTATTTTGGTTTGCCTATGATTTTTGCAAAATCAAATTGTTCTTGTTGATCTAATTCGCTGTTTCAGTGAAAATACATTAGACCTAAAATAAAGTAATTCATGAAACATGAATAAAATGCAGAAGATAATTGTACTTCTAACCTTAAGGTAGCGAGAAGGGAAATTTTCACTTTTTTCTTGATTTTTCACAAATTGATAAAACGGTTACTTTAGACCTTGATACATCACCCCAGGTTTACAAAAGATCGAAATTGCGAAATAACGTTGCTCAAATTAGTGTTTTAAAACACTAGCAGAAAAGATTACAACTGGCGTTTCGTGGATATTTGCATAATGTTTATCTTTGAAAGGGTTTAAATGATAACATCTTATCTGTATACTCTGTTGTTGACGATTCTGATATAACGGGTGATAAGCTTCCAGTTGCAAACAATGCGTGTTTATCTAACGTCCATTGTCAGCATTATTGTCAGTCGAGACTTCGACCGAGAAACATGGTCATACAGTACTCATTTCGCCCAACCTTCCGCTTTTACATCGACCGCTTAACGCTTAATTTCCGACCACGCGGTCTTGTCCGACCGGAAACCGACCGCATTTTAATCGCGTTTTTTTTTTCGCTCGCTAGCTCGCTCATTGAAAACATTGACCGCTCGCCCAAACACTGATCACTGGCACATGGGTGGTCGAAATGGTGGTTTTGATAGTAAAGTGTGAACATACAACTAGTATTAACTATTATTACATTCTGAACGACACTTCAAATCTAATAGTTGTATTACACTTGTATCGTGAAAGCAACTGAACTGGGACCTCTTGTTACGTGTTTTGGGCGCTTGTTCTAGATGTAATATTTTTTTCTAATGAGACAGTTACGTGAAAAAAGCCTAGGTAACTCCTTTTGAGAGAGCAGAGAAACGAGGAAATGTTAGTGAGTAATTCCAAAAATAACGATACCGAATCCACATCGGTCCACGTCTGGTAAAATTTGACATTGAATTTTTAAAATTAAGTCACGATCATTGAACGAGTTCGGTCTATACCGTATACGTACCATAAAAGTGTTCCCACAACAAATATTTTCGACTAAAAACGGCCATATGCCCTGAAAGAATCGAACAGAGCTTGACATGTATGAATAATTTATTGGGCTTAAAAGAAAAACGTGTCAAATTTAGTTATAGCCATAACTTTTTTAGCGGGGAAGTTGCCAACAACTGTAAACAAAAATCGTGAATTTCATAGATTCGAATAAAATAAAGCAAGCGATTGATAAGGATGATTATTAATATTTTCCCCGATGCTCTTCGAATTTTTATTTTTTTTATTTCAAGGTAAGAAATGGCTAGTTGAAGTTGCATTGTCTTCAATGCGGTTGTTTCACCGCGAACGAATACAACCGAACTCGGCCAGATTTCAACTCGGCCAGGAAAAAAATGCACAACTCGGCCAGTCGCCAATTCCCGCGACTATTTTGTTGTCGATTTCAACAACGCAAGTTTACAAACACACACACACAAACGCTACTGGTTCTCCGACATGTTGTTGATTTCAACATTGGCTGAACATTGTCGATTTCAGTGACGCAAATTTTCTTTTCAAAGGAAAAACACAGACATTACATTGAATCACAGACATCACATCGGCGGCGACCGTCTATTTTTTTTTACATTTTACTGTGATATGACAAAAGACACAGCGCTGGCTGTTACGTCACTGAAATCGACATCCCTTTTTTTATTAACAAAGCACGATAGGCATCACTGAAATCGACACCCTTTGACGCCCATACATTTTTTATATTTTGTTGTGATATGACTCTGACAGTCTGTAATACAGCGCTCGCTGTTGCATCATTGACACCCTTATGCACATATGCTGGCCGAGTACGGTCACTGGCCGTGATCGGTCATTGGCCGAGTAGAAATCTGGCCGAGTTCGGTGGTCACCCCGCGAACAACTCTAGCTCTGTTTTTGCATGGTTTAGTTTTGCGATGTAAAATAAAATATATATTAAAATAATAATACTTGTTTA